ATTTTCATTATTATTATCTTTATCATATTGTTGCTATTATTATTGCTATTATTATTCATCATTTTACTCATTATTATGATAAGTTATCATTAAGGGGGGAAAGAAGAGAAAGAGAAGACGAAATAAAGAAGAGAAAATTGATGATGAATAAGAGAAAATGAAGAATATTTAAGATAAAAATAAGAGAAAAAATAAGAAAGGAAGACTAAATACTAAGAAAAAAACAAATGAACACACATATACACACTCAAACATACACAACGCATACGCACAGAAACAAACACACACACATACAAACATATCAACACAAAAACAACAACGCACGCATATAAACACACATACCCCCCCCCCCAACACACACAAACGCAAATAAACATCACACATAAACCAACACTTTCAAGAATAAACTACCAACACTTTCAAGAATAAACTGACGAACACGATTTCGTTTCTCATACATGAACAAGGAATTTCCTAGTCATGAAAGTGCTATGAAATTACTTTGCTTCGAACAGCTGATCGGAGCAAAGCGAACATAAATTGGATTTGAAATTTATTGGCTTCAATTCGAATTATTATCATAATTGAAGATATTTCATGTGTGGGATTTTTTTTTTTTTTTTTGTGGGAAGTCATGTTGTCTGTCTGTATAATTGTTTATCTATCTATTCATATATCTATCTATCTGTCTCTTTATCTGGTTATGTGTCTGTCTATCTGTCTATATCTACCATTTGTATCTCTATCTATTTGTCTTTCTTTCTATGTGGTTGTCTATCCATCTGCATCAGTCTATCAATCTCTCTTTTTTCTTATTAATTGTCTATCAGTGCCCATCTATGCATGTATGTATATGTGTAGATTTGGGAAGACAGAGAGCCAGATAAATAGATGTGTTCTTTATACCGATTCATATATGAATGCACATACATACATACATATTGATACATATATATATACATATATATGTTATATATATATATATATATATATATATATATATATATATATATATTATATATATATATATATCACACACACACACACACACACACACACACACACACACACACACACACACACATATTTATATTGTTTTCTATCACTATCATTGTTATTCATAATTCTTACTATTAACATCACCATCATCACCATAATAATTTCATCATTATTCTGATTATCATTATCATCAATTATGACTACCATAATCTATGTTATTCCATTAATTCCATCATCATTCCCGCTATTATTATTGTTAAATCATTACCATATCATTATCTTTATCGTTAATATCAATATCATTATCATTTTTTTACCCTCATTATCATTTTGTCATAGCTATAACTATCATCATCAGTATCATCATTATTACATTTATCATCACTACTGTTATTATTACTATCACTTTATACTACCATTACTATCATAATCATTATTGTTACTTTTATAATTATCATTACTATCATTATCATCATTATCATCATCCTGAGTGTTGATATCATTGCATCATATGCCAAGCGGAAGTTATTGACATATTTCGTAATTTCCTTCATATCTTACTCAACATACCAACCCTAGATAAACATAAACAAACACACATACCTACATAACACACACGCACAAAGAAAACGAAAAATACATACACACATATGAATTGAATGCATACATAAATCCCAATATCAACAGATGGGAACACAACCTCTAAAATGCAGTTGAATATTATTGTTTACACTATAGAATTTAACCAGAAGTGAGAGGCCAAAATTTGCCAATGTTGCAAATACGCTGAATTAAAACAGGTGATTTTTGTGAAATGCAAAAATGCTGATGGTAAAAACATGATTTGATGTTCGTCAAATACAGTAATTATAGTAGTTTTGAGTAGGGTTATTAAGTATTGTTGCAAATACACTGAAATAAATCTTCTTGATGGCAAAAACATTATAGTAGTTATAGTAGTTTTTAGAAGGGCCATTAAGTAATATTACAAATACAATGAAATGGGACTTATTTTCTTGAATATATTGTTCTTTGCGGTAAAAAAATAGCTTATTTGATGTTAATGTAAGAAGAACTCATTTATAGAAAATTGAATGAGGAATGCACTAACTGGTGTCAGAATAAAAGGAAATACAAATCAATAAATGAACAAAAATAAATACTGATAGAAGTAATAACATACACTGATGGACACACCAACAGTTGATAATGAAAAATGTGAACTCAACAAGTAATGAATCGAGTATTCAGTAACAAAAAATAAAACCACTGACAACTAGTATGAAAGTTGCACACAGAGAAAAATATACTGTAATTATTACAAAGTACATGAAGTACTTGAAGCAAGTAATGATAAATACATTGACAACAGATACTAACATCAAGTACTAATACTATTTTTATTATAAATACTAACATCACCTACTTATATAAATATTTATCAACAGATAAGTAATATCAGTAATGGCAGCAGTTAATTAAACTATTCAAGCACTAACACAAATTACTATAAGTACTAACTATAGTAAAACAAAGAGTACCAATTACAAAAATTACTAACGCAAATAAAACAGCAAACATCATTAGGAATGTAAACAAAAGACATGTTTACAGAATGGATATAGCAAATAGCAAAAAATAACAGATAGCTCTAGAACTACTCTGTAGATGCTATAGTAGTGCTATCATTATTATTATTATCATCATTATTTTTATTGTAGTAAGGTATGTAAAGAGCCACATTGAAAAAAAATTGAGATATATACCAACAAAGGTGTCAGTGCAAGTCAAGATACAGACAAGAAATAATGAAAGAATAGAAAATCAGCTATTTACGTAAGAAAAACATGTTAGCTGATCTTTTAAACTTATCAAGAGTCGGAGAAGTTACAACCTCTGAAGGCAAACTATTCCAAAGTCTACAAATAGCAGGAGCTATGAAGAGCTAATAACAGAAATACTAACAACTAACTTCAACTAAAGACAGAATCATAACAGACAAAGCTAACATGCTAAGAATAAAGAAACACACATATAAATACATATATTTATTATTACAATAAGCAAGTTAGCATAAAGGCAATGGCTCAGTTTGTACACGAACATGCATGTACCCAATATTAAAAAAAGCATTTGCATTCAAGCAAAAACTAATAGAAATAAATTGGCAAATATCTTATATATACACGTACAATAAATAAATAAAAAACATAGAAGCAAAAGTTAGTTCATATCTTATCAAATATTTTTTTTTTAGATAATCCTGCGTCATCGCTGTTATTATTGTTATTGATTAAGATGGCTTTGCTCGGCAATAAGAACAAATCTTGAATATTTTCTATATGATAAACATGTCTGAATATTTGTGTGTGTTGCATGCATGTATTCTTCAATTGTTTGTGTATGTTATATGTATTTGTTTATATGTAATCATATGTTGATTATATATTGTATATATACATATATGTATATATACGTATGGTGTGTGTGTGTGTGTGTGTGTGTGTGTGTGTGTGTGTGTGTGTGTGTGTGTGTGTGTGTGTGTGTGTATATGTGTATGTATATTATATATATATATTATATATATATATATATATATATATATATATATATATATATATATATATATATATATATATATATATATATATATGTACATATACTATATATATATATATATATATATATATATATATATATATATATATATATATATATATATATATACACATAAATACACATACTTTATTCATACATAATTTGTACGTCTTTGATGACTCACGGAACAACTGAGCAAACGCTTAAGTACCAGGCTATCAATTCCCCCCAAATTCATCCAGTGGATTAGAGGCATCATTCATCTTTATTTTCCAAAATCGCACCTTCCTTTTTACTCTCTGAAGTGCACCAAAATCTTCAGGAAAACGCGTGAAAAGCATCGCCATAGATTTAGTTGAAATGAGACACATGTGCTTTCGTATTTTCTTCTCTTCCTGGCAACACCCCATTTTAGCAGCGTTTCCAACTAGCAACTGGTATTACTCGTACACACCAGCTGTCGACAGCTGACAAGTGACAACGACCGAATTCTCTGGCGCTGACACCTGCTGACAACAGCGGGTAACGTATGAATCGAGTCCCATGTGATTCGGAACAGCTTCGTTCCAGATGAGTGACGCTTCAGATTACAAGCTTCGTTCACAACTATGTATGTTTTTTGGTCTCTTATCAGCGTGCGAAGGAATTCATCCAAAAAGCTAGATAAAGAGAGAGAGAGAGAGAGAAAAAAAAAATGTATAGATATATATAACGCACAAGCTCGCTAGCTATTGTCGCAGCAATTCATGCGTGTCTCATGCACGGTGATGCAGCTTTCTATAACACTTTCCTTTCTGTACCGAAGAAGTAGTCGTTACAAGCAACATTGGGTCCCACACTGTCTCTTTTACTACCCTGACACTGGACATCTTGAGTAGTGCGTGTCGGAAGTCTGCACAGATGAACAATCAAATAAAACATCGTATTTACTATGAGTTTGCAATGTCTGTGGTATCTTGTATGTATAAATGAAAGGATTTTTTTTCTGTATCAAATAGTATTGATTACTGAGAGTTCATGTATGGCAAATTATGGTGTAAAGAACTGTTTCTTATAATTGTCTCTGTTCACAATTTCACTTCACAGAAATTTCACTGTCATGTGCACTAATTACGTTGCGTGTGACTCTCTTTGCACTTCAATTAAAGGAAGAAGTATCAACAAAATCATATTTTCCAGAAATAATTTTTTTCTTGACTGGTCCTCGTCACAAAATCACTTTCATGCAATAGTTTGTTTTGATGCTAATGGTTAATATTTCCTGTTCTGTTGTCTGTATTGTACAGTGATCGTTTATATATCAGGCAGAAGCGCGTATGTACAAAATAAATTAGTAAGGCCTATTTTACACACGGAAGCCACACATACTTAAGGAAATCACGAAATTTTGGCAAGGAAGATCC